GTTGCATAACCGACACAAATCAAGAAAAAAAAAATTGCATAACCGACACAAATCAAGAAAAAAAAAGTTGAATTCGGGTTCAGTTTTTTTTCTTTCAAAATGTAAGATNNTTTGAGAATACTAAGTACTTTTTAACTTTTTTAATATAGTATAAGTACTAGTATTTTGCAATTTTTTTGTGATTGGTCAATTATTATTACCATTTAAGTTTGAAAAAAATAATTACTTTTTTAAAATTAATTACTTTTTCAACATTAATTACTTTTTAAAAAAAATCTGCAACTTCAGCAAATAAAGCAAAAATTCTCCTGTTATCATTTAAGTTTGATATTATTCAGCAAATTCTGCAAAAAATCAACAGTAATTCAGCAAATTCTGCAAATTCAGCAAAAATTCTGCGGTTACCATTTAAGTTTAATATTATTCAGCAAATTCTGCAAGAAATCAACAGTAATTCAGTAAATTCTGCAAATTCAGCAAAAATTTTGCGGTTACCATTTAGACCCTTACTCAAAGCTCAAAAGTGTATATACAGTGGAGTACTATTTAAAACCAAACTCTCTTTTTACAAATCATATCAGTGTCACAATAAAATTAATTTATGTACACAAATGATATCATTATATAGTGGAATTCATAAATTGATTCATGCTCTCTACTACAAAATTTTCTAGTGGTGGTCGTGGTTCTATACTTCTATATGTGCTTTTGTCTGACATCGATTTTTATCAAAACAGACTTAGAATTTGCTTCTCTTTTTTTTTTTTAAACTTATTTATCATTTTTACTTGTTCCTTATAAACAGACTTAGAATTTGCTATTGATATAATCTTATACAAGTTTTTTAGGGTATTATATCTAAGAGATTAATACTCCTCGTCGAGCTATATTTAAACTAGTTACGTAAATATAGAACAATAACCTTTGTTGATATTCATGTAGTTTTGTGACATTATTCGGCAATGATGTGAAAACTGGATATGATTTTTGGAAAAATGTAGACCATTTAGTACTTTTTGGCGTCAAAACAGAAGACAAATATAGCAAAAAATTGGAAATATCAAACGTTGCTTGTTCGTTTAAATGAACAAATGAGGATGAAAATTAGCTTTCATATAGTGCTTGAAAAAATAGCCGTCGAGTTTGGACCACTCATATTCATTAGTCATTTCCAATAAATATCAATAGTTGTCCTCATAGACAACATTAAATTTCTTTTATTTGTGGTTTTCTCGATTTATATATATTTCTAGCTAAAATATGGACTAAGAGCTGTCTTAATTTGTCAAATGTGTATACCAATCAAATTTATTTTCTGAATTTGATCTACAAAAAAAAAACCACTTTAACCTAAACTATTGAATAATAGATGCATGCAAACAATATATTAATATATGATTATAGAAAATGATTAGTTTACCATATTGGATTTTATGATTCATTAGTAAATCTACTACATGTAGCCATGTAGGTCTTGGTAGGTTCGATTTTTATGATGAACATATAAATAATACGTATATAATTCAGCTTTATTTTTTGTGAAAATTCTTTTGCTTGTACAAAGTTGACATCAACAATTGTAGCAATTTATAGAATTCGAAAAAGTAAATTGGACCTATAGGTATGGTTGCACATACATTATTGATAGATTAGAGGTTCTTAAATTTTGCAATGAAACATCTTTATTGACTCCTTCTTCATTAATTAGTGACCAACCAAAAGAAATTGACCTTTTTGATTAACAAGAGAGAGAGAAAGAAAGCGTGTCTTTGCTCCTACTTGCATCTTTAGCTAACGCAATCAAATCTTTAACCCATACACTAAACTCAATACTTTTCTTCGTTGCTTCTATTCTCAATTCACATAATAACAATATTTTTAAAATCACATCATAATAGCATTGCCAAGAAATTTGTAAGATTTTAAAAGCTTGATGTTCAAATGTCCAAAGAAAAGTTCGACGTGAGTCAAAGCAAGTTGTTTTATTCCAGAAAGATGGTCCAGTTACGACCCAATATATATATATAAATATTTCAAGTAAAATAGATATTCACAACACATATTCTCCTCAAATTTCAGCTAAATTCGAGAATTTGAATTCGAACGATTCCACACGTAATATACCTGTAGACCACTTATTTTTCTTTTTCCTCCCTATAGACCTCTACGTAGTGATTTAATATGTACAGACAAATTTGAATTTGGAGATTCGTGTAAAAAAAATTACTTACTTATAAAGCATGCAACCAATTAGCATATAGCAACCGATTATTTAGTTTCAAATAACTAAAAGTCACAATTAGTATACACACACAAAAACCTTGAAAGAAATCAGTAAGAAAATTAACCCAAATGGAAAGCTAATAACATTTTATTAATATATAAGAATTTAAATATAAAGAGAATAGATATAGTTTTGTAATTAGTATTCTCAAACTTACTATATATAACTTGGGATTGATTTCTTTGTTTTACGTAGAATTTTTCTTATCAGCATCAATTTTGATATTTCAGTCAGTGTTCAATACCTTTTCTTAAACATTTATTGAAAAAAAAAATCTAGACCGAATTTTGTACTATATTCTTGGGTGAATTTGTGGGATAACAAAAAAAAATTATAATTTAAAAAATAACAAATTG